CATGTGGGTTGTTTCTACCTTTTGGCTATTATGAGTAATGCCACTGTGAACATTTGTGTACAAGTTTTTGTGTGGACATATGTTTTCTCCTGGGTGTGAAGTGGTATCTCACCATGATTTCATTTGTATTTCCCTAATGATGAATGGTGTTGAACTCAATATATATTTGTTAAATGCAGGAATAACCGAGTTTCCAGATTAAATAGCTACACAAAATTTTTTACATTATTTTTACATATTTTTTCAAATGAATACTTTAGTTGTTTTTTAGTTATAAAAATAGTACATGCTCAAATGATTATCCCAAAAATCAGCATAGTGGTTATGTTAGGGGGAAGGGAGGGAAAAAGTTATGATTAAGGAAGAGGGGTATAGTGTTATCTAGGGTGATGGTAATGTCTTATTCTTTTTTTGTTTGTTAATCCTCACCTGAGGATATTTTTCCATTGATTTTTGGAGAGAGTGGAAGGGAGGAGGAGAGAGACAGAGAGAGAAACATCAAGGTGAGAGAGACACATCAGTTGGTTGCTTCCTGCATGTGCCCCAAGCAGGACCAGGATAGAGCCGGCAACTGAAGTATGTGCCCTTGACCAGAATCGAACCTGGGATCCTTCAGTCCTTGGGCTAACATTGTGTCCACTAAGCCACACAGCTAGGGCTGATGTCTTATTCTTGAATTGGGTCTTAGTTACACAGATTCTCTTTATAAGTATTATTTAAGCCAAATGTTATCTGTCACAATAAAAAGATAATATAGCCCTAGCCGGTTTGGCTCAGTGTACAGAACATCGGCCCGCAGACTGAAGGGTCCCAGGTTCGAGTCCAGTCAAGGGCACATGCCTGGGTTGCAGGCTCGATCCCCAGTAGAGGGCGTGCAGGAGGCAGCCGATCAGTGATTCTCTCTCATCATTGATATTTCTATCTCCCTCTCCCTTCCTCTCTGAAATCAATAAAACATATATATTTTTAAAAAAGTAATGTATTCTCGTTGAAAACTTGGAAAGCAAATGTTTTGTTTTATTAAAGATAAAGAGCATTGAAATATTTCTACTATGCAAACTATGAGTGGTAGTTTTAGGGTGGGCGAAAAAAGGAATATTTGGCCCTCACCGGTTTGGCTCAGTGGATAGAGCAGGGGTCCTCCAACTTTTTAAACAGGGGCCAGTTCACTGTCCCTCAGACCGTTGGAGGGCCGGACTATAGTTTAAAAAAAACAACTATGAACAAATTCCTATGCACACTGCACATATCTTATTTTGAAGTAAAAAAACAAAACGGGAACAAATACAATATTTGTATTTGCATGTGGCCCGCGGGCCGTAGTTTGAGGACCTCTGGGATAGTAGTTTGAGCATCGGCCTGTGGACTGAAGAGTTCCTGGTTCAATTCTAGTCAAGGGCACATGCCGGGGTTGCGGGCTTCATCCCCAGTAGCGGGTGTGCAGGAGGCAGCTGATCAATGATCTCTCTCATCATGGATGTTTCTCTCTCTCTCCTTCTCCCTTCCTCTCTGAAATGAATAAAAACATATATATTTTTTTTAAAAAAAGAATATTTGTTAAGAAATCTTTTTTGAACAAGCCTTTTTTTTTACCCTTTGTTGGAAGAAACAGATATCATGAAAAGTTGCCAGCAGGTGGCGCAATGAAACAATATTTAACCGCTCAGTCATGTAAAAAAAAAAAAAAAAGGGGGCAAAACAAAACAAAAACATGAAAAGCAGCCAACATTTCATCTGGTCATTGGAAAACATTTTGGTGCATTTCCCACTACCTACAATTTTCCTCCAAAATGAGCCATCATACAAAAGAACCTGGTAAATACGACTATATTGGGGAAACTGTCAAATCTAATTCTTCAAATGCATGGAACAAAAAGAAAAACATAGACATTGGTGCTTTCTCCCTGTTGTTTGACAGAGGGCCTTCAAAATAATAGGATGCCAGAACCCAGGATATAGAGCTTTTCTGTGTCTACAAGAAATGAGGACAGCAAAGGTGTCTAGTAATAAATACATTCCTCCAATATTGTTAGATGACTTCGGAGCTGGATTAGGAAGTATTCAATTTCTAAATCTTTATCAAGCACTTCCACTTATGTCTTGTTGATTATGGCCATTGGAGGTTGGGGAAATTTTAATTACTTAAAAAGCCATTTTAGTCTGGACACCAAGGCAAGAAAGGGATGCTCATCATCCCTTTCATATCATTTATTTGGGGCAAGGTGGGGATGAGGACTGGAAGATCAGGATGGTGGTGGCAGTGGGAGATTGGTTATATATGGGGGAGGACTGATCGAATGAGTAAATATATAAGCATAATGGGAGCCAGTTTTCTCACTGTTGAAGAAGTGAATTGTGAATATGGAGAAGGGAGGAAACTAGAATGAAATCTGTGGATTGGAATTGCATATTGGTGTGACATCATGGTTTTAAATATTTATAGATATAAATAAAGGTGTAAATGTGCACAAATATATATGTACATATATCCATAAGCATAGTCTCTAGATCTGTCCCCCAAGAGAACCAAGAGTGGTGGCATCCATGGTGGTGAAAACACACATCTAGTACCCAGAACTTGGTTCTAAATACCAGTCTTTGCTAAAAGGAACCAAGAATGACAAAGAAATGGCTGATTCCAGAGTTGGAACAGGGAAGGTGTAAGATGTGTTTGGTGTCAAAAATGTGAGGGCCTTTAAAAAATGATAGGGGCCTGGCTGGTGTGGCTCAGTGGTTGAGCGTGGACCTCTGAACTAGGAGGTCACGGTTAGGGCACGTGCCCGGTTGCGAGCTCGATCCCTAGTGTGGGGCGTGCAGGAGGCAGCCAAGCAATGATTCTCTCTCATCATTGATGTTTCTATCTCTCTCTCCCTCTCCGTTCCTCTCTGAAATCAATAAAAATATATTTTTAAAAAATGATGGGGACCTATCAAAAGGACACAGAATCCAGCTTGAAGTGCATCTCAGTGACCAAGTCTATGACCGCTTGAGCATCAAAATAAATAAGCGTAATAATGGATTATAACTCATTGACTAAAATAGAAAAATATGAGTTCTTGCTGATATAAATAAGTGGAAAGTTTGATGAAGAGCAGAATATAATCTGAATAAAGTCTGGAGCTTAGTTGCTAGGAATACACCTATGTTAATTTCTTTGTTTTGAAGAAATTATGGACTCAGTCAACATTAGGGGAAACTGAGTGAAGAGTAGCTGAGTAGTTTCTATATTATCTAGGCAGGTTTTTTTTTTTTTTTTTTGTAAATCTGAAAATATCCCTAAATAAATATATAAAAAAAAACCACACCCAAACATAAAATCAGTGCTTTCTGGTGCTTACATTTTGCCACTTTACATCATTCATTGCATTTAATACAACAATCCCACCAGAGTGACTCCCAATTTACAGAGAAGGTGAATTAGGTTCTCAGGATCCTGTACTCAGCAGGTGGTAGAACTGAGATTTGAGCTCAGGTCTGTCTGATTGGGCCAAATAAATCACACAACCCCATCTAGCCCCAGATAGGTCCAGTAAGCACATAACTGCATAAGGACATAAAGGACATCTTGATACCTGAAGCGTAAACAGTAAGCAAATGAAATTTAATAGATAATGCTTGCTGTTTCCATTACATTCTGCGCCCACGAACAGCAAAACAGGTGTTTAAAATTTCTTTCAAACACCTGCACAACATTTCAGGAAATAAAAATTCCATCAATTGACATGATTTACTTTTTCTGTTATACTAAATTCGCCCAATCTTTTTCAGGCTACACCAGTGATCGTATAACTTTAACCAGTATACATATTGATTATTTGGGGTTCTGATTTTTTACTTACCATGATTTCATATACCTGTTTATAGGCATGCATTTAGTTCCCATAATGATCATTTAAACAGCCATATAGTATTACACGAAATGGACAGGATGTAGCTTCTTAACCATCTCCCTGTTGTGGGGCACTTGGGATATTTTCAGTGTGTGGCTCATTGGAAAGTGCTGCTATAAACGTCTTTGCACAAATTGCTTGTTACAATCTATTGTAACTATTTTGAGCAAGGGCATCTGTGGGAAGCAGATGAAGGAAATGCACCTGGAATTTTCTTTTTTTGTTGTTCCACTTATTTATGCATTTATTATTTGATTCTTGTATGTGTTCTGACCCAGGATGAACCCACATTCTTTGTGTATCTGGATGATGCTCTAACCAACTGAGCTACCTGGCCAGAGCCTAAGACCCTGGAATTTTCACTTCTCCTTGGAAAGGTGCTCTTTTTAGAGATTGGCTCTTGGCATCCAGTAATGCAAAAGCAGGAAGAGGAAAAACAGTGGCTGGAGATGGGGGTGAGATAAGAGATGTGACTGGAAAGCTAGGCAGGGACAGATCTTGAGGGGGAGGGGGATTTGCATTCAGTTAGCTTTGAGGCGGTGGTGTTATTTGAGCGACAGAAACAGCTGTCAAGATAGTCACCCAGAGTCTCAGAGGGCAGGAATCTAGGATGTTATTCGTTGCAGTACATGATGACAATGTGAGATGACAGGGCCTTCTCTGTGCTTCCCCGCCCTGCTCGGCGACCTTGATGGATAGGCAATGTCAGTTCTAGCATTCCAGGCTGTTGGCTTTGGCTCAGACCAGGTAATGCTAAGGGATGGCGAGCTTTCACGGTCCCTAAATCGCCTCTCTCCCTCTCGACCCCCAGGCACCCCAAATAAACACAATCTGGTTAATCTAAATAAAATAAGGTCTGCAAATGCAGCCTGCGAACAAGTTCCCCAGCCCCAACTAGAGGAGAGATCCTGGAGGCGCAAACCCATTCCCCAGGGGCCAGAGGCAGACCAGGCTAGAACCCGAAAAGCTCCTGACGTCCCCGGACCAGCGCGCGGCCCGCGGAGGCGGAGCCCGGGGGAGGTGCTTGCGCATGCGCGGAGCCTGCCTCCCGGCGAGGGGGTGGAGCGGGCGCCGGGGCGGGGGCTGTGACGTCAGGTGCGCGCGTGGCTCCGGCTGCGCAGGAACAGCTGGTGGCTCTGAAGACGGCCGGCGAGCGCTCGGCCGTGGGGTGCTCGGGGCCCGCCGCGCCACGCTGCGGGAGCCGCCGCCGCCGCCTCGCGCCGCTGCACCATGTCCGGCCAGCGGGAGCGTTGCGAGCGCGAGTGGCACGAGCTGGAGGGAGAATTTCAGGAACTGCAGGTAAGGCCGGGCCACCTGGTCCCTCGACTCGGCTACCTGAGCTGCAGTACCTTCCCCTTCCTGCTCCCCCAGCCCGGGCGGTGGGCACCATCAGGGCCCAGGGGTGTCCCTGGCCAGGCCCTGGAGGCTGGTGGTCCGCGTGGACCAGCCCCCTCCATCTCCCAGCACTTCAGTTCTTCACCCACTTGGGGCGCCCGCTCGAAGCCCCCATCCCCCCCGCCCTCGCACCGGCTCTTGGCGCTGAGCACCTCCTTCGCTGCAGAAAGTTGGTCTGTGGCCTCTGAGGGGAAGTTCCAGGCGTGTCCATGTGGGGGAGGCCTGCGGGGACAGGTCTGTGCTGGGACTCGGGGGGAACAGCCCTGCCCCCACCTCCTCAGGGGTCTCCCCTAACCCCGCCCTTCGGCTTGTGGCAGCTCAACTGCCCGTCTGTCCTGGGGAGCAGCCCTCCGCTGCGGCTCTGTTGGGAAGATGTGCTTGGGAGACGTTCACCTTGAATCCATCGGCTCTGCTTCGGGACTAGGGTTCCCCGTTCTCCGCCTTCGGGGCGCTGCTGCAGGCTGACTTTGGCGTGGCGGATGGCATCTGTCAGTTCTGACAGCTGGGTTGCCTCCCTCGGGAGGGCGAGGGCTGCTTCCTGCCCTCACCCTTCTGGCCCGGAGCCTGAGGACGGGTGGGCTGGGGGCGGAGGCAAGGGAGGCCCCTTGAGAGAATGGCTTTGTGGCCTGGAGGTCCGGGCAGGGGGGGTTGTTCCTGAGTTCTCAGAGGCCTCAGCTACCTACCCTGGTGACTAGAGACGCCCCGAGAAACCTTGGGGTTGGCCAAGGGGACTCCTGGACCATTTCTGGAGATGGGGTGCCCCCTCTGCAGCTACCCTCTTGTGTTTGTTTTCTCAGAGTTAGGCTCTGCTTGCCTGAAGTCCGATCACGCATCTCCCAACTCCTCCTTGTCCTCAGCCTGAGCAATGATATTCCGCCCCACAGCACGTAGCTTTTGTCTGCAGTTGGCTGGCCTCTTACAGTGTCCAGAGGAGGGGAGAAGGGATTGCCAAGGGTATTTGTAAGGAGTCCTCCTAGACCTGAGGCAGCAGGTCCGGATGAATAGAGAGAGGGGTGCTGGAGAGACGGGACAGTTTGAGGCATGAGCAGAGGGTAAGGTACCCAGAGCCAAAGCGGTATCCCTTTCTGGGCTTGTCCGGCGTGTGTGGGTTGGTGCCCTCTCCTTCAGGTCTGGAGCTTGGGTCCCACCCAGCTCCCTGGGGACCCTGGTGGCTCCACTGCCATTGAGGAAACCCAGCCGCTTCTTCATGCTGTGTCCTACTGTGCTCTCATGTCATGTCCACGGAGGGGGTGTTGGGGTCAGCAGTGGGAGAAGAGGTGTGCGGTGTGGAGCTTTTGTTGTTCATCATTCCTTCCCCTTGTCCTGCCTTAGGCTAGGTCCTAGGACAGTGATGGCAAACCTATGACAGGCGTGTCAGAGGTGACACGCGAACTCATTTTTTTGGTTGATTTTTCTTTAAGTGGCATTTAAATATATAAAATAAATATCAAAAATGTAAGTCTGTGTTTTACTATGGTTGCAAATATCAAAAGTTTCTATATGTGACACGCACCAGAGTTAAGTTAGGGTTTTTCAAAATGCTGACACGCCGAGCTCAAAAGGTTCACCGTCACTATCCTAGGAGAAGGAGGAGTCCTCACACTTCAGAGCTATGCGATTAATGCAATTAACAGCAATTAGACAGCAAGTCTTGGCAGGCAGAGGTTGCAAAGGAGACAGTTTGATTTGTTGTTGTGTTCTTATTTGGTGTCTCTGGGGCTCAGATGGGTGAGGGACAGGGGGGATGGGGCATTAATTCTGGATTTCATCCCCGGGTGCCTAGCAGGGCTTGTAGAAGGGCTCACCTGGTGGGAACTGTGACGTCCCTGCTTAGTTCTTCAGCAGTAGGGCATGGGGTGGACTTGGGGAAGAGGGAGCATCAATTCCCTACCTGTCAGGAGGGCATAACCCTTGCCTTAGCCCTTGCCCCAGCCCAAATGCACACTTAGGCATTTTGGTGACAGGTTGTGTGGCTGCTTTCACCCCTGCTGGCCTCAGGCTCTGGTGGCAGCTTCTGGATCAGAGGCCAGTGATGGATGGAAGGCCACAGAGTCCCCTGGGGGTGGGGGTGGGGGTGGGCTGAAGGTGAAAAACACTATGTCTTCAGTTCATAGTTGAGGAGACTGAAGCTTGGGCATGCTAATATAACCGGGGTCACACAGCTATTTAGTGACAAAGTTGGGGCTAGAGCTTAGTTCTGTAAATGTTTACTTCACATGGATGTCCTTGTGTTGGGAGGCTCCTGTCTGTCATATTCAATGTGAGAGCTCTGAACTCCGGAGATGAAAGTCTCTGGAAATACATATATAATCAGTAGGGTGTACCTTGTCATTGTGTATGTATTGGACAGACTTTCAGATGAGGCATTTATTGGGGAACAAGAGGGTTACAGCAGGTAGGCAGGTGGACAGATGGGAACTAGAAAGGTTCACAATAGGAAGGTTTTTCTTTTTTTTTCACCAGAAAATCTCGGTCTATCTTAATTTTCCTAATCTACCTCAGAATCTGGGATTCATGGATTTCATGCTTGTATCTCTCTGATTTCCTTTCTTGGGGCACTGTAGAATATCACTGGGTTTTTACCTCTCCTTCCCTTTTACACTTGAAGGGAGGAAAGAGGTAACCTAACTCAGGCCCTAGCAGTGGTTCTCAACCTTCTGGCCCTTTAAATACAGTTCTTCATGTTGTGACCCAACCATAAAATTATTTTCGTTGCTACTTCATAACTGTCATGTTGGTACTGTTATGAATCGTAATGTAAATATCTGATATGCAGGATGGTCTTAGGCGACCCCTGTGAAAGGGTCGTTCGACCGCCAAAGGGGTCGTGACCCACAGGTTGAGAACCGCTGCACTAGAGGATTGGAAAGGTCTTTAGAATTCCTCCCTCCCCGCAAAAGTCATAATTTCTGGGAATTTCCAGAGGAAAAGATCTGATTTCTTTTGATTGTGGGGCCTCACTGGACTCTGGGGCAAGGTCAGGTCTCCATGGTTATTTCGTTTTTAGCTGTTTGGGATTTCAGCCTTGCTGGTAAATTGAGTGTGGCTCTGTGGCCGGTGGTGTGACCACAGAAGGTCACTTACAGACACGGTGGCAGGTGGTTTAATGAGCCTTTCCTGACTTGCCTTACATCACTGGAAACCTGACCTTGCCCCTCCCACCAAGGAAGGAGATAGCTGGAGTGGGCTTTCCCTAAACTTGACCTCATAGTAGGTAGACCATTGTAAAGATTTTGGCTTTTGCCCTAGCCAGTTTTGCTCAGTGGATAGAGCATCAGCCTGCGGACTGAAGGATCCTGGGTTCAATTCCGGTCAAGGGCATGTGCCTGGGTTGCCGGCTCGATCCCTGGTGGGGGGTGTGCAGGAGGCAGCTGATCAATGATTCTCTCTCATCATTGATGTTTCTCTTTCTCTCTCCCTCTCCCTTCCTCTCTGAAATCAATAAAAATATTTTTAAAAGATATTTTAGCTCTTACTACCAATGAAATGGGCATACCTCTAGCTGCTGTGTATGGAATAGACATCAGGGTAAGGCAGGCTGCAAGCAGGAAGATAATATTAAAACCCTAAGAAATAGATCCCATTATCACCAATTTACAGAGGTCAATAAGTTATACAAAGTTTCATGGCTTGTAAATGCTGGAGCCAGGATTCAAACCCAAGTTGTTGAATACCAGAGTCTGCGTTCTGTGGGTCAGATATTTTCTGGGTTCCTAACATAGTGGACTCTGAACCCTTCTTGAGACGCTTGGCTCTAGAAGAAAACTTTTGAACTTGTGAGGTCTCATTTCATTTGTGTGGTTCTTTAAAAGAATAGCATTTAGTCAGAACTCTTTTTTTTTTTTAAATATTTTATTGATTTTTCACAGAGAGGAAGGGAGAGAGATAGAAACGTCAATTAGAGAGAAACATCAATCAGCTGCCTCCCGCACACCCCCTACTGGGGATGTGCTCGCAACCCAGGAACATGCCCTTGACGGGAATCGAACCTGGGACCTTTCAGTCCGCAGGCCGACGCTCTGTCCACTGAGCCAAACCGGTTTCGGCTAGTCAGAACTCTTAGTTGCAAGTGACAGAAACACAATTCTGCTGGTTTAAGCCAAAAAAAAGGGGTTTATTGGTCATGTATTGGAAAGTCCAGTGACAAACGGCTTCAGGTAAGACTGGATCCAGGGGCTCCAATGATGTCTCTGTGAGTGTGTCTCTCTGTCTCCTCTTTGTCACCTTTATTCTTAGGTGATTTGCGTCTCCCTTGTTATAGTAAAGATGACCACTGGTGGCTCCAGGCTGACATCTACCATCTACTTAGCAAACCGGGGGAAAAAAAGTGCATCTTTTTCCCAGTAATTCCAGTAAGAGTCCCAGGGCTGATTCTCACTGGCTGGACTTGAGTCATGTGATTATCCCTTACCAATCACTGGGGCACTGATTGGCAGTGCCTTGGTTACATGTCTACCCCTGGAGCTCAAACTGGAATCAGTGCTACTTTAAACCACATGAAATAAGAATAGGGGAGGGGTGGTTTCATGAAGGAAAATAAAAATGCTGGTAGCGAAAACAAACAGACAAGGGTTGCTAGATAGGCATCGTTGGGGGCTAATAGAAACAGCCTGTACTTGTGATTCCCAAACCGTGTCAAGGCTTCCCCATGAAACTGCAGAAAAGTCACAGGGGTTCTATGGTCTGATTGAATTTTCAAGGGAAACACAATGACATCTGTCCCACACCACTGACGCTGTTAGCTTGGGGCAGTTCACAGTTGTACATTAGGTCATGCTACATTCTTTTCGATGATGTCATATCTTTGTAAAGTTGGATTTGCTGTGGTCTCTGATTAAAATCAAGTGCTATGTGAGAATCAACACGGAACAGGAAATGATGGCAGCCCTGTCTAATTTGATGCC